ACTTCAGGATGGGCTTGTTGCACTGTTGCTCTTTGCTATACTTACAAGTACTTTGTACACCCCTCCTGTGACAAGAAGGAACCAACTTTTTATCTTCTAGAGTCAGAACAAGAATGTTTTATGGTAGAAGTGAGTTATTACAACAGTGATCTCAGAGAAGAGATCATTCTACAACTTCCTGAAGGGTGGGTGTGGTCAGGTGGGGGTCGGTCTCTTTCTCCAGGCAGCAACTGACAGAACCACAGGACACAGTCTCAAGCTGCATCAAGGGAAATATAGGTTGGATATTAATAAAAAGTTTTTACAGAAAGTGTGGTAAAGTTCTGGAATCCCTGCCCAGGGAGGTGGTGGAGTCACCATCCCTGGATGTGTTTAACAAAATACTGGATGTGGCACTTGGTGCCATGGTTTAGCTGAGGTCTTAGGGCATGGGTTGGGCTCAATGATCTTGAAGGTCTCTTCCAACCTATTGATTCTGTGAATTCTGTAAAGAATGAAAAAGGGATTGAAGGTGAGGAAGATGCATATTGTTGGCAGTTGTTCTGAAGTCAGCTCATGGTCCCAAATGGACCTAATTCATTGACTGCTAAAGAGTAGAGGAAGGAAAATGAAACATAGTGAGAAATGAGTCAGGTCTGCCCCTTCAAGAAGAGCTGACCAGAGGACAGGATCTAACAAACAGCCTGCACAAAACATCATGGTTGTGTTGCTAAAACACTTTATAGATTCATACAGTCTAATAAGGCCTGTGATGATTGCGATGTAGTGAGCAACTGCATTTTGAAAGACAATATAAAAAAATACTCCATAAAATTACTTGGTTTGAAGAGTTGACATAGAGGGCAGCCAAAGAGCAAAGCATTATCTCTGACTAGGAGAGGAGGAGTCCTTGGGTCTAAATTTCAGACAGTTCTACAGTTCTGTTTCCTCAAAGAGGAAGTTTCCAGCTGCTTGTCACCTCTTTGTAAGCACTTGATTTGTAATAAGGGAGCCTGATGACAATAACTGATGCTATGAATTCTATTTCTGTGACTAGAATATCAAGTTCTAAAAGACTTCTAAAAAGTTTCTAAAAGAAAGCTTCAGGATATCAACAGACAATTGCTCTATAAAAACCCTGCAGCCTTTTCAAGTGAAAGACAGTGGCCAAGGAAAATTAAGACCATAAGACTTATTTATTTACAATTTGTTTAATGATAAAGCAGCTAGGCTGCTGGATGATTTATTTTTACAGTTTAGACTGTCATGGGGCTGCTGGACTTATGAATTCTATCCAGGACTATAAAATCAAAAAAGATATATGGAAACATAAATAAAACCACCTTCCATTGCTGAAAATGGGACACTGGACAAAATATTTTGAAGGTTAGTGTATTAGTAGGCTTAACTGGAATGGTTCTTCTAAAGTTGTGTGCCCATACTAGAATGGCTCTCATACAGGTAGACAGGGCAGATATACTGTGATTCACACTCATTCTGGATTTAGACAGAAAAGTATGCGAAATGCACCAGTCCACTTCTCTAACCAGGTAGGGCAGACTCATGCTATGATGCTATAATAGAAAAAACAGTTGTAGCAAATGGGTTCCAAAGGAAAAGAAGGTAAAGGAAGATGGAGAAGGTTGCTGTGATGCTCCTAAGAAACACAAAAAAAAACTTTCAGAAAAAATTCTGCTATACCACACAAAACAGAGATTTTAACATAATTTTAAGAGCTGAAGGCTGTGCTCAACTAACTGCAAGATAAATGACACCAGATGTTTAAGATGACCTGAAGACATTGGTTGTGCCCGTCTGCTTTGTAGCAAGTGCAAGGTGTTCTGCAAAACAGGGAATGTAAGAGTGCCTTAGAGATGATGGTCCAGCTCTGCTTTTGGAGCTGTGCACTTCTGCAGGATCCATGTCCCTCCTCAACTATGGAATGCTCACAGCTCAAGGTCCAGTTCACAGCAGCCACCATGGAACCGAGGCAGGACCTCTCCAGGAAGCCCCCTGGAGTACAACTAAAGCTGCACTGCCTCTACTCCATGATGGCAATGGCCAAGGGGAAGTGAGGAAGAGGGAAATGAGCTGTATGAACATTCACTGACCAGACAACAACCATTCAGTGCCATCTCTGGAATGGGAGCACTCTTGACTGTGAATCCAAGTGCTTTTCTCTGATCCAGGGAAATAAGTGACAGCTTAGGGTCTGTTCAAACATTACGAAAAAGCTGGATGGAAATTCCTAGGCATCTTTGGACAGTTCTAAAGGGAAGTTTCTTGTAGGTCATCAGAGAAGACCAGTTTCTCATCTGCCTCAGAAGATCTAGAAAAGAATGCATCTAACAGGAAGGAAAATTGTGTATTTACCTAATTTTCTCTGTTTAAGATTTAGCTACAAGCCACAGGACTACAGCATGACCCGGACACAGCCAGTCTGAGGTGGCCAGTCTTGGTGTAGCAAAACAACTGCTATAGGCAGCCTTGTCTGACAGCAACACTGTTCTAAAGCAATCTTGTCAGGCTTATTCTGAGCCTTGGCTGACTTCAAGGTTATACAGATCATAGTAATTTTGATAGCATGCAGCAAATGACAGGGAACTAGCAATTATCATCTCAGGACTTGCAACTGAAGGCACCTTTAATCAGATTACTAAAATTAGATAAAGTTGTCTACTTTTCCTACTCTCCCAAGACTGTCTGCAGGAGGGTCAAGAATCACAGTCTATTTAGAAAAACTGGGAAAAAAGTTTCCTGAGGAACCTCCCAGTACTTCCTAAAACAGCTGTTTAGAAAACATCTGAAGACATATGGAATTTCATGGAAATGCCACTACACTTTGGAAATGAGTAAGAGTGCATTTAAAAAAAATAAAATCTGAGTATCAGCAATCAGCAGAAACAAATAAGTAAAAAAGTCCCTAAATATTAAGCCACCCACTCAGATCTCACTCATTAATTAAATTTATTTTCATCTCCAGTTAATGTTTTTCTAAGGAATCAGTGATTTAAACACAGCATGTCCAGAAACTCTCTGCTAATACAGGAGGTACTGAAGAGTTCAACAGTGTATTTTGCAAACTGGATTTTAAACTATCTCCCTAAGCCTATTTCTACGGTCTATGTTCAGCTTGGAACTTGCAGACCTCGTGTAATTAAGAAGGCTGTTACTAATATTTTTAATGCTAAATTTTTAATGCTATTTTCCTGGACTCTTGGAAGCAGTGTGAGCTTATTTTCAGGTTGGATATTTATTTTTTTCAGAGGGTGAGGCATCAACACAGTGCACTATGTTGCTCAGTACCTCTAGAGAGTACTGCACATACTATTTGTGGCTGGGCAAACTCACCATTGAGACCCAGAGGGTTGCATTTTTTAGTGGTCTGGAGGCCTTTTGGCACACTAATTTTCATGACTTCTTGTGAGAATATGGGTCTCATTGAAATTATAGCTAAAAGTGTTAACAGCAATTTATAAAGCACGACGAGCTGTCTCATAGCTTTTGTTATGTTAAATTATTTGAATTTGTGTATCATTTAAAAAAACTATATGGGCCACTTGCTAGGTCTGCAAACCAATTGGAAATGAATAATCATGGATAATCTAAAAATAAAGGAACAAATGCCCAGATTTTCACATGAAGGAAGATATTTTACCTCAGTCTTGTCATCTAATATCCTTACAACGTCATAACACTATGCCATTTCCTAATCATACAGTGATTGTATGCTGGTCTCTGGGTAACTGGACTATTTGTCATGGATGACAAGATACAAATGATATGGAAACTTTATAAATATTTCCACCTACTGCAACTATTAGCACAGCAATCAACTAAATATTCAAAGTGGGGCTTTGGTCTCCTCGAGGTGGTTACTCCAGATAGGTATGGATGCTCACAGGCAGAGCTGAGCTTTCCAAAGGTTAGCAGGACAGTCTGCAAAGGACTCAGTGGTTTTAAGAAAAGACATAGCAACGCTGAGGGAAGAGACCAGAATTTTGTCCTGCCAGAATCTCTTCTGTGGTGATGAATCCCTGTCATGTAAGTGGGTCCATTGGGTACACCTCACCAATGGCCACTATGTTTAAAACCTAGCGGAAATAATTTTATGAGGTGGGTGGGGCATCAGAGTGGAAAATACAGATAAATAAACCACCTGAAAACCTCCAAGCATCACTCAGCAGTCTGTGCTGCGCTGTGCTCTTTGTCTCATGCAAAGTCTGGCAGAGGTCCAGCCACTCGACCCTTTCTATTCCCAAAAGGTCCTTCCCACTAACAGCCAGAAACGTAAAGTGAAGGAGACCAGGGTGAGCAGTGGGTTAACTGAGAGCAAAAGCTAAAGAATTATCTTCACTGTTCAGTGCACTTCCTACTCTGTTCCATTCTCAGGCTCCAACAACACAGAGAAACAAGCCATGCCTCAGAAAGAAGAATGTACAGAAGCCCACTAGTCACTAGGGAAAGATCTTTCAGTGGTTACTAAAATAGCTGCACAAAGGAAATAGATGAATTTCCAGTCATAACATTTACATTTTAATCAAAAGAACAGGAAATTTTAATTAGGCAAATACACTTGCTCATTTAACACCACAGATGTTACAGAACATAGTTTTATGTCATCATCATCCACTTTTCAGTCAATAGGCAGTCTGCAACAGGAGATTTTTCAGGAATTTGTACAGCAACACACACACAAACACACAAATCACATGTAAAAAGTAGCTTGCATAAGCTAAGTAAGGTTAATGGCAAAAGCTTCTTTCTATGCAGAGAAAATTGAGCATTAAAGCTGCAGCATTAGGAAAAAAAAGTTTAAAAATAAAGAATGAAGTTGTACAGCAGATGAGAACTTAACAAAATTGGTGACCTTTCCACACAGATGAAGTCAGGTTAAAAAAAACCAGACCAAACCAAAACCAAGGAGACCAAAACCAAATGAGACCAAAAGAGAACCTCCCCCCCACATACATACAGACAAAAGTGAGAGCACAACAAAGGAAGTGGAAGAAAAGTGTTACCCATAAGTAGCCGCCGTTTCACCCGCTTGTCCACATCAGCTACTGACGTGGCATTGTACTCAGAACTCTCAATTGCAGCCTCATCCTTCTCTAAAACACAAGTAAGGGACAAACATGGAGCAGTTGGTTAATCACAAGCCCAATTTTCTGCTGCCTAAGACAGTTTCTTGGCATGGCACAGCCAAAGCCAAGAAGCAAGGCATGAAAGCACTAAATCCCCGTTAGAGAGTTAATTCCCTTTGAGAACCCAGGAAAATATTAAAAGGGTGTTTAGGGAAAGGAGGAAGAAAGAGGGTGGGAAGGAAGAATGATCAGCTCAGAAGTAATTAATCACACAGAGGAAGCTGGATTTCTACTGGAAAACAAGACAGCTAACATGGGTGCCCCACAGAGGTGTTAATGACGAAAATTAAAATTCAGGAAGGCTAGTCAAACAGACTACCAAAGACAACCTAGGCTAATGGGGACACCAGGATCTGAAGGTGGCAGGCAGAAGACTGGGACAGAAAGAGAGAGCGAGAAGAGTCCGGTGATGGATGGGCACAGAGGCACCACAGCCTTGTACACATCGACACACTGAGAAACAACAACAGCATGCAAGTTAAACAACAACAACAACAACAACAACAAAAATAAACAAACAACAAACCAAACAAACACAAAAAAAAGAGATCAATTTGGGCAGTGCTGGTTGCCTGCTTGTCTATGAAACACTACTAGCTAAACATTCAATGCTAGGAAAGATATTGCAAGAACAGGGTTTAGTAATTTTATTAGCATGCAGTGAGCAGGATGATGTCATCAAAGGTCACTTTACAAGGTAGTCTCTGACATCCTACATGTAAGAGGTTCGTACAGCATAATGAGGACTTTGGTTATACTTCATTAGAAATACACAGAAACAGACACAAATGTGGGAAGAGATGATCAGCAGGTGAAATAAAATTAAAGATTTACAGGAGAGCAATGGAGGAGCAGCAGCTGGGTAAATAAAATGATCTGTAGGAAAAGGGAAATGCTCATTAGGAAAACAAAAAATGAAAATGCAAGTAGGGACTTTCACATGCAGCAAACATAAAACAAATAAAAGATTAAGACAAGCAAACAAAGACAAAATATGTTAGACAAAGGGTCAACAAGTATTTATCTGGCATTGCAGAAGTTTGCATTCTTGCAGTGATGCCTGGAATATGTACACCACTGAAGACAGCAAATACTGGAATCACTGAAGTGAGGAGGAGGAGGAGGCTGGCAGGTTTTGTTTGTGGCAACTCTACATGGTTGAGTGGTAACAAGAAGTTGTTTTGTTTTGTTTTTAACAAGTTTTAGATGGGATAAGGCTGCAATAGAGGCTTTTGTTTGAGTTTGTTTATTTTTTTTTCTCTGTAAATAATTAATAAACGTCAGTTATCAGACAAGACAGGCAATCAGGAACCATCACCAGAAAGCAGGAATAAATAAATGTAAAGAAAAAAAAAAAGAAAAAAAAAAAAAAAAGAAGTATTCTAAGAGAAAGAACTATTTTAGAGGGAAGAAAATCAGCACAGGCAGTAATATGTGACTTACATCACAAGACCAAAGAATGTAACATGGAGTTGTATGTATTACATTACAAAAATGGGAAAAAAAGGTGAAAAGAAAATAGATGGAATGTAAACAGCTTTTAAAATATTTTTTTACATGCTGGATAAAATAAAATATCAAAGGATATTAGTGAACAATAATAAATAGAAGATCATTTATCCATTCAATAAAACCTGCTCTCAAGGCTCTCACTCTTGCAAGTTCTCCTCATCTGGAATTGCCACAGGACAGGGATTGCAGGATGGAGCTCTCTGTTATCAGAGGCACTCACTGCACTCAGACACACCTTGTGCAGACAAAAAGGAGGCAGAGCCCAGTACTGAGCCCTGCTCAGCTTCACCTCTGCTAGCATAAATCTCACCATGCCCCACAATTTGTGCTGTTAAACCCTTCAGAAGTGAGCAAGGCTCTGGGCAGCCACAGAGCTTTATGCCATGGATCTGACCAAGACAGACTGGCTAAAGGTAACTGACAGATTTCCATGGGTGTCAAATGCTCTCTCTTGCAGTACAGGAGAGAAAATACAATAAATATGTGTCTGTGTTTTTCTAACCTCAGGAAATGACTAAGAATTTGTAAGAACTTGAAATTATACAAACAAAAAAAGTCATCATATCCGCAATGCCAATGAAAACCATTATGGACTTCAGGTTCTGATCTGTAAGAATTTTCAGATGTTAACTTGCATTATGCAAAAATGCACTTTTTAATTTATTTTTTTAAAGTGGAGTGGAAGGAAATGGAGTTAAGTAAGTCATACATTTTGTAATCATAAATGTTTGCAAAGCATCTCCCAAGATGCTCCATGTCTTGACTGGCTCTTTCCTCCTGATATTCTGAATGAAAGCTTAGTCACTACAAGTGTTGCAGTTTTTAGAATCATTAAACATACGCCAGGGAAGAAAGCACATAATGATGACTCCTTTTCCCTGGTATCGGCTTAGAAAGGGAGGTAATTTTTCTAACCTTGCTCAAGCAAGGAAATCTTGACTGATGAAAGTGAACTCAAGAGCTGAACTTTCATTCAAAATGACGAATGTTCTATACCTTTTTACTTCAAAAATAGTTGCAAACAGAAACAAAAGTCACAAGCAGGTAACAAAGGGATACTTAATTAATAAACATTTTGACAGAACATGCTCAAATGCCTCTCTGTGTGCCTGGCTGAGCCAGGAGCTCCTGGAACACCCTTCTGTCAGCTGCTGGAGCACCCCTCTGTCACACAGGCACCACACACACACACACACACACACACACACACCACAGAGATTCTGAGCAACCCCAAATCAAACGTGCTGTGGAAAAGTACTCACCAATGCAGGTTCGGCCATCTGAGTGCAGGGCATACTTCTGATGACAGCCACACACAGGGCCAGTATCTGTGTCATCACAGGTGTGTTGGCAGCCTCCATTCCCATAGTTACAGGTTACTAGTTAAGCCCCAAATGAATGTGTATAAATGTATATATAAATAAAATGACAATGAAACCAATTAGTCTTGAGAGTCTTTCAGAACACAGAAGAGCAGTAACATACCAAGACATAAGGCAACATAACATTTGTGCTTGCAATTATTTCTATTTTTTCCTTCTGCCCTCTTCCTTCTGCCTGTCTCATGCCCTAGCCTCAATCCATACAGTGAAGAAAAGAAAGAAAAAGAAAAATAAAAGCATTTTTCCCACTCTGTTTGTATTAATAATTTTAGTGTGACTCTTAGCCAATTCCATGTCTTCCTAAAAGTTACATGCTTCATATCCATGATGAAATTAACAGTCTACCAATACAAATGTATAGTTTCAGGTCTATAGACAGCATCTCTCTGTCATTGCCCTGTTATTCTCTCAATAGAGGAAGCAGAGACCAAGCAGCAAGGACAGAACCACAAAAGTCTTGAAATCTACTATAGCAAGAGCTGGACTTCCTAAAACAACATGCTTAAAAATAAACCAGGAAATGTTGGGGTTTTTTTTTTCTTCTCTGCAACCAAAAATACACAGTTGTTATGGCTCTGCCGTGTGCTGACCTCAGCCAGGAAGGAAGCACTGGAGATGCCACTTTCACTTCCAGGAAAGAAGAACAGCTTTTAGCAATTCACATGTCCTCTGGTGAAGAAGTACTAAACATACATTAAACCTTTTTCCATGAGAATAGGGAGAGTTTTGAAGCTTACATGAGTTAACAAATCAGATTCAACTGATTTCCTTTGTGACATGATGGATTTAATTTCTGCCAGCTAAGACAAACCAGATTTAAAATATTAAGCTGGCTAGCACCATTTCATAAAGCCTCTCACTTGTCCCTGTGTCATTTCATCCTTTGCAGTTGCACACCTTGATGCTGAAAAACAGTCATGATCTCACTGACTCCTGAATTAAATTTACTGTCTTTATTTGGATTAGGTTCTCTACTAGTAAATGTATACTGGAAAATATGGGAGAAATCCAATATGCTGTTATTTAGTTATATACTCATCATTTCATAGGACTTAAATGTTTTGAAATGTTATGGTAATTTAAATGCAGACTACATTTATTTAAATACTGACTCCCAGTAATCAGAAGGAACTTCCAGACATTGGTCTTAGCAGAATTTTTCTTCTAGATAAAAATTTCTAAAAGAGGCAGGGTAGCAAGTTGTAATATACAACAAAACCAAGATAATCATTAACAGGATTTGAAAATCATGTATCTAACTAAAATCTGAAGCTGTATCTAATGCAAGAGGGCTATGTTCATATATTTTCCCACTGAACTCAGTGACCCTGCTTTAATTCTAGCTCCTGAAAATGGAGTAGACCGGAATTTTCCATCACAGTAACCAGAAATAAAATATCCCGCCTCTGGTGTGAGTGCCTCAGTGCTGAGCAGCCATGTAACTCTCAGTAATCACTGAAGTATTCAGCTTAAAATGGAACAGTTCTAAAAAAAGCAGCTGAGGGAGACCCACCACAGCATACCCAACAGAATTCCCATTAAAACCTCCTGCCAGAATGGGAACCACAAGTTTACAATTTCAGTTCCTGAATTCTCGTAAAGATCACAACAGGAACTGTCCATCTCTCAAGTGAGTACAGAGCTGAGGCCACTACAGGTGCAAGCATCCTTGGTCCTTTCCACTCCACACTTGGAATAAAAACTCTTGTGCTGTTCAGAGATAGAGATGGAGTAGCCTTGGTGCCTGGTGTCAAGAATAATCTCTGAAAATAGAGACTTCCTGGATTCCTACCTCACTTTCCAGGAATATCACTGTTCTATCCAACTGGAAAGAATGGCAGTAAGAAACATGGGGAGACCTGCCTGATCCATATTCCCTTTTTGCAGATTGAAAGTTTGTGCACTAGACTGGAAAATGGAAATGGTGGGTTCAGTCCAACCAGACAGAAGAAGGAATATAACCCAAATCATGAGAATCCTAAACTTGCAAGGAATTACATTACAAAACCCCCTAAGCAACAACTACCCTCGGGCATTCTTTCTCCTTCTCCACTTTTATAGCTTACCTAATAATTTGTTTTTGTGAAAAAATAGCAGAAGCAAATCAGTCTGCTTTGCATCCAAATGAACCAACATTTATTTCCCTTCAATTCACTGTAAAATTTTGGTTTTTATTTTTGATGCAAACCAAACAAAACTCCATGTCAATTCTCTATTCCTAAAGTTCCCACCTTTCCAATGAATGCTTATTACTTGACCCCATATGCCTCAAGGACTATGTGGAGTTTCTATCCTTGTTGAACTGCAGTGCCATCACAAATTAACTTAGAAGTGTTGTTTATGCCAGATGTTTAAATACATTTCAGGCCAACAGTACTTTTACTGAGGATTTTAAAGTGCAATCAGCAACAAAGTGTGTATTTAAAAAATGTGACTGCAGTGGTTGTTTTTGGCATTCCTTGCTGAAAGCCTCTGCTGGCAGAGATGAAAATATCTGAACAGGCTTTCTCTGACCCACGTAATATGAGGAACTTTCCCTTACTATATTTGTCTATGAAAAAACTGCACCAGACTGATGGCATTTATAGCAAATCCTGCAGAATCACACACTTTTACAGCTTCCCTGCCTATTAAAGTTACTGGTTCCCATTCTACCCAGTCCATGAATGCACATGTAGGTCAGTTCCTTTTCCTGTCTCCTAGAAACATTAGTAAATCATGTTTTTGAAGGATTTGCATTTCTGTCTAGACTACAATTTATTTATTTATTTTAAGTAACTTGAGTCAACATTTTGAAGTTTGACAGCTCTATAGGTGAAATTGCTACAAAATCCAGTTGTAAAATATGTCACTTCAATTTTCTTCCAGTCCTCATTCTGTGGCAGTAACACAGTGGGAAGTTTCTCTTGCTTAGAGGAAGAAAATCATAATTATTTAAAAGCAAATGGACATCCAGATCGACTCCATTTTTTTTTTCAGAAAGAACTAAAGCAATATTAATGAGAATTCATGAAGTGTTACTTTCAAAACTATTTCTGCATAATTTGGACTCTGCAGCTATGCAAACAGCTGTGTGTTCATTCAGAGTCTGTGACACTGAAGAGGCAAACAAAGGCAAAATAGTAAATTCCAACAGACACAGATCACCTTAAAATATCATAAATCATGTTAGAATGAAAGGGATGGAAAATAGTGAGTTCTTTTGTTTTGGTCTTTTGTTGTTGTTGTTGTTGTTGTTGTTGTTGTTGTTTGTTTTGTTTTGTTTTGTTTTGTTTTGTTTTGTTTTTAACCAAAGAAGAATATTCACATATCTTTTAGAACTCAGACATACTTATCCCCATATGGCAGATTTAAAACAAGAGTAACACCATCTTTGGACAGTGCTTCAGCTTTTGCATGTGTCCTAAGTGCAGTCAGAATTCTGGGCTCTTTCCCTTAGTGGGAGGAATGCCCTGTACAACAGCAGAGAAGCCCCACAAATGACACACACCCTCTGTGGGACATGTCCAGTGCTGGCAGCCAAACTACCAGTCTGTTCTCCCAACACTCTTCCACGTGCATAAAGAGCTTTAGGGCTGAGACTGGGGCTTCAAAGTGCCTTCAAACCAGATTAATTCTTTTCACTGACTACAATGCTCAGGGTCCTGGGCTGGCCAGACACCTTTCAGGCCGTGGCAGCCAGCATAATGGCCCTACCTGTCCACCTGCACACACTGGAACCAGCAGCATTATTCAGTTTGACTGGGCTGAGCCAAACAGTCCTGAGACACAGCTTGGCATGTGGGCCAGTGCTTACAGCCAGAGAAATATATGGACTAGTGTAGAAATGACATTTTGATCATGAAAAATGAGAAACAACTGTCTGAAAGAGAAATGACATCTCAAAGAACAAGAAGGATTTTAATGTACATATGCTACTAAATATTAATATTGATATTCCTTGCTAAACTCCCCAGAAGACAGAAAGTACCAGTATTCAGCCTGACTCTACAGCCTAAATGCTGTTTTCATCTCTGAAGTTTCATAGAATCTATCTTACATGGCCATGACAAGAAGTACTTGAAAACATATGACCAACCTAGCATTTATTACTTGATAACTTACAAAATTGCCCAAAACAGTGTTCTGATCCTGTCCACGTGTGGATTGAAATATATACCATGGCTCAGATGCCACAGACAGATATTTCGTTCTTGTAGGATGGACTTCTCAAATGAGCATACTGTCATCCCAGATAACTTGAAAATTGCACTGTTTCTTAAGTGAACTGGCCATGAAATACATAATTTACATGAATATATGGGCACCTCTGTGTGATAAAGCTGTGCATGCAACATTGCTTACATTATTTATTCTAGTATGGCTTTACATTTTTGACATTCTGGGGATCTTTGTACTGATAGCAAACAGTTGGATGAGGACACTGTCAGCAGGAGACGAAAAGCTGCCACTTGGCATAGGAAGGTTGGCATTTTATTGTAAAAGCACTAGGCAGGATTTTCAGAATCACTTTGCACTAGCCTTCCTGCTCACTTAAACCATTATTATCCAAGGAGGCAGACAGAAACAGCTGTAGGTAGGGTTACCCAGCATTTTTCATCAAAAGATTCAGCTTTAACTTGTTTATAACTCTTTCAGTTTGCAACTTCCAGGTATGTGAATCTGCTTTAGATTTCCTCTTATTTTTAAGCTTCCAGCTAAGAAAGAGAGGAACATAAAATGTCTTTGTTTGTTCATATTTGGGGAAAAAAATCTTCAGTTTATCAAAACTTCTAATGCAATCGTGCTCAGGATCAGGATCTTAGTATCTATCATGGATACAGATGTAAAAAGAAGAGGTAAATTCCTATGTTTTTTTCAACATAATCTGGAGTCAAATTGACTGTTCTGAAGAATCTTCTTTCTGCTGCCAGCAAGTATCTATGAAAATTACTCACAAACCATATTCTTCTTCTGGGTTTTTGTACACCAGAAGCCATTAAAGTACAGGAGTAGCAGTAAACTCCCAGAAGCTGAAGTTTTTTGATGCTGTGGAGCTAAAGGATGCAGCTCATCTGAGTGATCATGTATGGATCTGTATGATTCTGCTTTGTGTATTTCTAGATGGCTTCTTGAGGTCCCTTTCAGCCTCAAAACTTCAGTGTTTTCTTAACATGTTGAGCAACTAGAAATTGCATACTTAAAATTTACACTAAGAAACCATTAAGGCTGCAATATTGAGCACTCAAAAGCTGCAAAATACCAGACTTCTACATAGACCCATTGTGTCATGATAACATTGTCTTGTCAATGACAAATGCAGAAATTGCTCCTGTCTCATTTAGTGCCTAGTGAAGTTGGGGAAAGTCAGGGCTGTGGAAACACCTGGGAATCTTTTCTCATCTGCTGCAGAGTGAGTAGTAAACCAGAAGTGGACTGTCAAGAAAGAATGGTCTTGATCAGACAGTGAAAAGAGCCCTAAAAACTCTAACTTATTTCTGCGTTCACTGTGGAAGCCCTACTTAGAGCTTGCAAGTCACTTGAATCTCTTCTATTACAGGTTACTGATATTATAGTCCTTTCTCTATGGCATTTGCAACTACAGCTGTAGCCATCAGGAGTTTGGCTTGGATCATATTAATGTGCTGTAAATGCTTAGCTGGTTTCTGTGTGGCTCTTGTTAATCACGTATCACTACCAAATGACTTTGATATTAATATCTTTATATTCATTTCTCTTTTGTAAGATGGGTAAAGCAGTACTTTTTAACTTGAGAAGAGTATTTTGAAAATACATTACAAATGTCTACAAAGCACTTTGATATTACAGTAACGAATATCATGATAAAATCCATGAGGGAATTTTATGTTCACAATAGGGTTTTTAAGGACTGTGCAGCGGGAAAGGCATGACACTAAATTATGGAGAGGAAGCTACTGAACACAAGCCTGTTTAATGAGCACTGACCATCATGGACACTGCATGAAGTGACTGCCTTACCAGCATGTGAAGGTAAATGATAAGATGGGATGTGCTTATGTAACTAGCATGTAATGACAGTTGTGATACATAAAAAGCATGGAGCCTTCCTCCAAGTGTTTCTGCATTCTAACTTTAACATCTTCCTTTGAGGAAGACTTGACTTTTTACTAAAGGCCTTGGGCCAATACATTTGAAAATCTGTCCTAGTGGTCTGATGGAATTGCAAACTGGCTGATAAAAATTCACCAAGAGAGGTACTAAGTGTACTGAGAGGTACTAGACTCTCTGTCACTTGTTCACATAAAAAAAACAGAGCAGCAAGCTCTGACAAACTCTGAAAGGCCTGGACTCCTGGAGGACGACCATGATAAACCAGCATAACTGACAGGCATATGGCGTGTGACAAGGGTGCCTCAGACCCTACCAGTCCCTGCAATACAGGGCTACAGACCCAGTTCAGGCTGGCAAGTGGAAAGTGTCTAGCTCTTCAACATAGCTGCACTGAAATGGTTAGTTCTGAAAAAGGTTTTTTAAAAGCTGAGATTTGGTTTCAGATTTAGGCTTTTATAAATAGCCTGCTGTAATCTCACGATTACTGTCCCGGGCCATCTGGTTACACCTCTGTACTTTGTGCATTTGGAAGGACTAGAAGTAATTATTTTAAGTAAGAACTCTGGATCATACTTGCAGAAATGTGCTGTGGGTTTAGAAGTTGGTGTGCTTCAAAGTAAGCTCTGCAGCCTCAGAAAACTCAGTGTCCCTACTCAGAAATCTGTCACCAAAAGTTCATTATACTTACAATTTGAACACCAGAGGGCACAGAATAGATTGAAGTTTTTACTCTATTAAACCCTGGGGCATTTAGAAATAATGTTCCAGAAAAGGCTCTAATCCTCCTGCCACCATCTATTACTGAGACTCCCAAAGAAGACAAGAATTTGAGGAAACAAATAATAACAACAAAAGAAAACATCCTCCCACACTTCACCAATGTAGCTGACATTGCACTCCAATTAACAGCACGCAATAATCACTTCTAATAAACATTGAGAATGAAAATTACCATAAAGGCATTTTCCTCTATGCTTTTGTCTTTGGCCCTGTGTAGCCTCTTAATATAGAGCAGAAATCAGGCTGTAAATACTCTGTGGCACTTGTTTATGACATTCAAAAGTGATTCTTTGTACTTGGGAACTACTATCATCTACACGTGTTTACATAGTGGAGATCTCAGCAAGAAAAAAACTGAAGTGTAAGAAAGACTGTCTCAAACATACTGGCCTGTGCAAAGCAGCAAACATTTTATGTTGTTTTACTACACTTTTTTTTGTCTCTCTCAAAGCTACCAAGTAGGAATACAAGCTATTGGACTCAGATCTAAGACTCACCAAAGCCATCAGAAAGACTCAGTTCTGAAGCTTTCAGATGACAATGCTGAGGTCAATTTGAACCTGTACAGAACATTTTCTAATTTTATGGGCTAATGAGTAGTATCCACATCTTTAGCATCCCAGCTTCAAGAATATACCACTGTGGGTTTTTCTCTGAAGAACAGTATATATGATGCTGCTGCATGTTTTCCAAGTAGTAATTCTAGACTGTGAGCAGTAGAATCAAGACTAGAGCAATAATTTCTGTCTTTTAAAAAAATTGGCACTGACAATCTTAATTTGATAGTTCTAGTGAATTTATCATTAAATTCATTGATGCATCTGCCTTTGTGGACCTTCAAAATATTGCAAGCCAGAATCCATTATGCTTTATTTGTATTGCTTTACAAGGAAAGCCTGGATTAAACTGATCCTTTACTTTTCTGCATTCATAGGAAAGTAGAAAAGTTATGGTTTTGATAACTGAGCCACTGTCAACATTCGATCCCACTTATCCATCCCCAAATGCATCTTCTACAGCAAAAAAAACCCCTCATTACTGAAATTATAAATCACCTTTGGCCTAAATGAAACAAATTTAACTTCTTCTGGAACATAACAACAATGAAGAAAACAAGACATTTTGGGGCATTTGAAATTTAATCTTCATCTACCTACATTTGCAGTCCCTCTGGTTTTTGGCAAGTTCAAAGCCAGGTCTACATTCACAGGCAACCCCACCTTTGGGTGTCTCCCGGCAGATGTGTGCACACCCATGATCTTTGTTCATACAGTTCATACCCTCTGTGGAAAAGGAAAGAAAAATAGAAAATATTAGTATTAAAATAAAATTGCAAAATAATTGTGCATATCCAGTCCTCCAATAATTTTATCTGTAACTTTTATTTTTCATCTGTACCATGTTCCACAAGGCAAAAAACAGAGCTGAAAGGAGATATATAGTCAACAAAACAATGTAATAAAAGACAAACACGCTCTGGGGCAAATATGAGCACTACTCTGTTTCATATAGAAACTTGTGATTTCTCTATTCTGTGTCTATATTCTAATCTTTCATGAAAATATCATGGATTTAAAGGATAGTCCAGGAAGTTGTCTGTCCCACAGAGCTGAATAAGTGATCTCACTGTTATTTTTTTCCTTGTATAAATTCAATGGCTGTTACTGTCTGGGGCATTTTTATATGCCTGTTAATGTGCTTTGTATTTTCTAACACACAAAATCTGCCAAATATTATAACCAAGCATTTTTGCTTGGATCCATTTCTTTACTATTTGTTTTACATCTCAATTCTCTGTCATCCACCATAAACACAGTACATCTCCAACAAACCTACTACCACTTTTGTATTTGACTCTATTAAACAAAACACACCAGCTGTTCAAAAAGCATCCAAGTGCCATGGGTGGATTCCTGCTAATGTTTATGCCAAGGAATAGTATCAACCAGCTTTCTTTTAATCATCACAGAGACAAATTTATCTTTCTAAACCATGTCAGTGATTTAGATACTGAATGCACCTTATACTCTTAGAGCCTTTCATTACCGTGTTAATTCAAATCCCACGTATTCACAGAAATCTTGAACTCAGTTCTTATGGGTCAGCATCTAACATTCCTTGTGTGAACGAAGGCTAGCTAGATTTGCATTACAAAGCCTTCCCAGACTTCCCCTTGGATATCTGACCTGTAAAGGAGAGACAAATTCTCTCAGAATACACTGGCAGAGAATTCACATTGTAACTCAGCTTGCTACGCTGAAAACTGCATATGTTGCCCAAAACACTGCTGCAAGCAACATCAGGGTGGACTCTGCAACTTATTTGGCACTTTGCAATGTGTCTGTTCCCATCTATTCTAGGCTAATTTCTCAAAACTACTACAGTGCAAAATGTTCAACTTAAATCTACAGTGCCAGTGTATTGCAAGTAAAAGTTTTTTTGTGCTTAGAATTTTGAGGAGGAAACGCTACCGAAAGTCAGTCAGAGATTGCCTCAGGGAGAGAGAAGTTAACGCTTCAAGAAGTTATTCACACAGTTCAGCTTTACCTCTGAGAGGGTTGTATTAGCAGAGTAATGAAAAACACACATCACCAGTCTGATTAGGTATTTTTGTTCACCTCTCCTACAAAACATACCAGGGTCTTAAATCTCACCGCCTATGAAAACCAATATTATAGACAACAGATGTATTTATTTCTTCTAAATTCCCCTCTGTATTGTCCTTGAGCCTAAACACTTGCCAAAAAATAGTAAGTTACTATAACAAAGTAAGTTATTTGTAAACTGCAGCCTGGACAACAGATGCTGCCCTGAGATACAATACACACTACATGCTATAATAGACCATCCTACACATCAAAGTGAGATATGAATGCTTTGTTGGACTGAACAGATACAAGAAACCTGGGAATGGCCTTATTGAAGGGTTTGAGGCATTTTATAATCTCTTTCTCTCCACTTCTCCCAACAAAGGATTTCAGACACAATGTGTTTGACAAACTGCATTCCTGTGCACTGCGCTATGCTCCGAAAGGGATCTGGGAAAGATAACACATGGCTGATTGAGTTCCACTGCCCAGGATCTGAGTAGAGAGGAATTATAGAGATGAAAGCAGATATTTAATGGCTCACAAGTGTAATCAAGCAAGGGATTTTTCAGTGTTTAATTGCAGATACTGAATCTCTGCCTTTATGGGAAGACAGAAACTGTGCACTGCTGAAAGTATTGGGAGAAATTGAAGATCAAAACCATTAGAAACAAAAGTGATCCTGGTAGTTGTGTGCAAGACCACAATATTGTAGTTACTATATTAATTATTCCATCTGTTGTATTAATCAGAGTTGTCTAAAAACTATTTCAGTTGCATGTTCAGATGGAGAACACCATAGAAATCTGCTGAGCCTGAAAATCATTCTTTTACAAAATATAATGGTGAAATGAAAGGTCATTATTTTTCAGTCATAAGCTGGAGCTCATGCACAACAAAAATTCTCATTTCAGTATTTTTCAAAATACCTAAAAATTAAATTACAAATAATTTACTAAGCAAAACCTTTTTAGCCTGAAAGTATTAGTGAAATAAGAATGCAGCAAGTTAATATTTTACCTTGCTAAAAATGCAAAAAAACTGTGTCAATTTACAGATAATTTTAATAATTCAAAATTCAAATTTTTCAGCAGATATAGTATTTGTCCAGATGTCTTCTCTATCAATCTACATACACAAATAATTTATGAATCACCATTGATAAAGTTTACTTTTTTGCTAATTGACTCTTGAGGGAATACCGAATCTTTAATGATATGGCACATAAGTCACACTAAAAATACAAAAATATGTTAAGTATCTTTCTAGTACTAATCTTAGTTTCTATACAAATGCATATGAATAGGAGAGAAAAATACTCCTAAAATGACTTTGTTCAGTATTCTCTTGAGTAGGATGTAGTCCAAACTTTAAAATAGACTAAAAAAAAAACCACATAAATCACCTCCAGTATTTTCCTATAAGAATGTGCACTGCTGGTAGTGAAGAACTGCTCTGCTGAGTTCACACTGCTGCCACAGTAGCAGTGAGATGTTTGAGATATCATTTCTCCTTGCTTGTGCCCCCTGAAAAAGAAAGCTTTGCAATATTTTATTTAATGTTTAGCAGCCACCTAATGCACACATGCTTTTTCCATAAAGGGTACAGAGTGTGGATAACAGCATGGGAAAATTTTTCCTAATGTTAAAGAGGGATTTAAGCCTCTCAGTGCCTGCCTTGCTGCTCAGCCCCAGGACAACGGGTGACCCAAGGAGGAGGTGGGCAGTGTGCTCCAGCCTCAAAATTGAGGGCAAACTTTCTTTATTTGCAGAAAGGGGTGGAAAACTACTCATTCAAATTAAAAAAAAAAGAAAAAATTGCATGGGATTCTGCTGTTCATTTATGTGTTTGAAGTTTTTATCACCATCAGCCCCAACTCAGCAGATGGGTCCTGGCACCAAGAGGTGCCCTGTGCTTCTCATGGTGTTCCTTCCTTGAGCTGACTAATGCAGGGCAGAAACAGGACAGAGAGGGAGAACACCCATGGAACTATTGGAGGCCTCTCCCAAGTAAGTACAGAATTATGCCCACAACACTTTTACCTCAGTCTGCTGCACAGCCTGGGCAAAGTATCAGACAATGGATCTTCCATCCAAGCCCTAACCAGAAGGTATTTACAAAACTATTTACAGAACTTATGACCACCCTCTCTCTCCATTGTGTGCATATCTGCCTCACTCTGGTTTGGAACACAAGGAGCTGCTCCCAACCTGTCTTGATTTTTGCAGTGCTCGGTGTGTCCCAGCTTCTAGAACTGATGGGACTATGGGTCAAGTGAAAAGCCATGGTTCCCAAATGAAGGGAAAGATTAAGTGTTGATAAGAGAGCTGATAAGAGAGAAGTCTGTACTCAAACACACACATACAAAATCCTTAATCAGCACGACACTAAAATGTCCAGTTGAAATGTTCTAGGTTTTTACACATTAACTGTTCATAAAAGCAGTGTCTTAATCCCAAATGCTGGTACTCAAAGTAATCTCTAAAGCCAGCACAAGAATGGGTGCATGTCTCTTAAGCAGTGCTGGCAGACAGTCAAATAAACTTCTGAAACACAGACACATTCTCAGCAAATTCACCTTACAGACAGCAAAACAAAATCCAATGGAAAATATAAACAGGAAGGGAAATGTCACTTAAGAAAGGAAAACAGTGATCTAATTAAACTAAATCCTCTCTCAGCATTTTAGATATGACTTGAGAAACTCTCTTCTATTGCCTTCCTGAATTTTTTCCTGACTCTAAGTTACAAAAGATTGCTCATGGGAGAGTGACAGCGACTTTTATGTATATCCACAATCCACACTCATTTTTGTTCTTGGCCTAGAAGAGATTTGGATATGAGTCTACTACGTTAATCCAGTCTGCCATCTAGTTATCACAAATCTCTTAATAGTGCTGTTCTGCAAAATGTTCAATCTGATATAATGGCCTCTCCATTGTACTATGCTCTAAAAATGTTTTCAGCTCAATGGCCCTGAAAGTGCTTGAATCAGGCTGACTGTTACAACTAAAGCATGGATCAGCCTTTATTTCTCATTAACACTGTCTGTTCTCATCTTAATTAAGACTTTTAGCAATTATTTTACCATGTGGTTCATCATATATGCTTAGATTATCCTCTATGTTGCCATGATTTCACTTACTCTGTATTTATATTGCTGCTTTTGCTATTTATATAATATTTATATAATATTGCTATTTATATTTCTGTTTTTATACATGCTGAAACACACTGATTCCAAACATGATCTGAAAAAGACCACTTGAAATTGCATCAATAATTTTCAGAATATTTTCAGACTATATGTGCTTGAATGTACTAAGAAGATACAGGAAGTCCTGAAATTAACCCATACATACACACTGTATATTTGTACGACATGCCCAGCAGCTTCTGGATAATTGACACTCAGTCTTGAAAACTACATAATCACATTACCTTTCTTGTTGATAAATTAGTTTTAACACAAGGTACACAGGGAGATCTGTTATTAAGTTGCACCATAGATAAGATACATCTTTAGTAACAGGGAGAGGAAAGAATACAAGAGAAACAAGCATTCTCATTTTACTTATTCTGTAAACTATTAATATCATAGCAATTTCTTTTTTGTTATCTTTTAAAAAATTGTGTAAGAAACTACAGTGCTACAATAAAACACACTGGTCAATAACCAGGCAGTTTAGAAAACT